GTATATTTTCTAATTATTCACATTTATACAGATATATACTGATTATTTATTAGATAATATTAAGATAATAACTTATCACAGCTGTGTTATTCTCACTGTGAGAGATACACAGTTGATGATAAACATTGTAAAGACTCTGAGAAGTGAGTATTTTAAAAGTGCTGCAGCTCTGCAATCTTGATTTTTTTTTATTTTTATTTTTTATTTTTTTCTTTTTCTTTTCTTTTTTTTTTATTGTGATTTTTTCTTGTGTTTATTTTGTTTTTTATTTTTTATTTTTTTTTATATTTTATATTTTTTTCATAATTAAAATTATATGAATTATAATCTATATTTAGAAAAGTAATGATATTTGATAATACTCTCTGTTGAATTTTCAACAAATGAGCACTATGTTATAATATTATATAAGTGAGAAATAATTTTATAGTCTTATTTAATATCATTCTTAATAATGAGATCAGAATGAAAATGTAACTAAGAATTTAAATATATTCTTTATCTGAGACTAGATTTTTATTTGAAAAGTGAATCTGAAACCTTTAATATTTAAAATAATGTGATTTGAAATCAATGTAATGAATATAAATCATGACTAGAAGTAATGCTTTTAAATAATATAATAACTGTAAAGTTTGATTCTGATCTCAGACACGGTCACACAGTCAGTCTAGAGATATCTATTTATTAAATCTTTTATAGATTACTTTCTATATTTAATCTGATTCTTCAGCAGAAATAATTATTTATAAAGACAGATATATAATATATCTTTATTATAATTTATTAATTAATCAATCAGATCTGAGTTGAAGATAATAAAGAGAATTAAAGAGAGAGAAGATTCTTAAGTAAGATTAGTATTAGAAAATACAACTATTTTAATACTGAAATTATTGAATTTGATATTAATAGATTTATTTTTTATAAAGCTCTGAACTTATTTATATACTATCTGAGAAATTCTCATCTCTCTGAGTCTGATCTTCAGTGTATATTTATTTATCTCATTGAAAATCTCTTTAATATTAAAGAAGATTAGAGTTAGAACTGTACTGTATTTTCAGATCTGATTAATAATACTAATCAGAATTAGAAGTATCTGTTTCATAGTTCTATCTGATCTGACTCTGAATTATGTATTTGAGAGAAGATTATATTTCTCTGTGTAGTATGTAAGACATTTCATGATCACTCTCTTCAGAATCTTTCTCAGTATGTTAAGAAGTGAGATTGAGCAGTATGCTTCAGAAGCTGTGTAGTTCAGTTTCCCAGGTTTCTGTAGTACTACAATCACTGCAGTCTTTCAACTTGTTGAGTAGTGTCTCAGTCTGATTGATGCTTTGAAGATCTGGTGTATGAGTTTTGACAGGTATTTTCATAGACTCTTTCACACTAATGCTGGGAGACCATCATTTCCAGAGACTGATTTGCTTTTGATCCTCGCCAGTGTTGTCAGGATCTCTTCCTCTGTGATTGACTCTCAGAGCAGTTCCTCCTGAGTTGGGGTGAGAGATTCTCTCAGTGAGAATGTAGCTGGAGAAAAGAAACTGTTCAGTAGTATTTGAGCTTTGTCTTTGTTATCAGCATATTCAGTGTCCTCAACTACCAGGGCCAGAATGTTGGTGTAATTGTCTGAGAAGCAGATGTATTCTGCTGCTTTTCAAAGATGATTGTCTGCACTCACTTTGTCAAGAAATTCTTTCCAGTGCTCTCACTTGACTTTCTCTATTATTTGAGTCCATTTCCTGCACTTCTGCAGTGTGTCCGTGTGTAGGGCTTGGGTGGTTGGGTGGTTGCTTCCCCGCTCAATGCAACTGGCCTGCCACCTCCTTCGGCTTCTGTTGCACTCGGACTGCTGTGTTTTCAGGTCTCGGCTGAACCAGTGTTTGGTGTAAGGAGATGGTCTTGCGTGCGGGGTGTGCTTGTCTATTTCTGCTATTGTTGTTGTGATTAATCTGCCAACTATTCCATCCAGCTGAGTTGTTGATTTGATCTGTGGTGTAGGGATTGCCTTCTCTACAGCTTTGCCAATCTCTTCTCAGTTCGCTTGGTTGAAAAGTCTGTGTGACTGGCTTGAATCTTTCTGTTTCAGTTGCAGATCCCATTCTGAGTAGATCGCTAGGTGGTTGGAGCCGTAGTTGTCTTGGTAGAGGTGGCATTTGAGTAATTGATGTGGGATGTTACTGAGTGTGAGGTCGAGTGTGGAGTATGTGCCTGGGTGGCTCGCTGACCAGAAGATGGTGGTGCCAGGTGGGAGACAGCTATGGAGTTCTTGAGCCTGTATGAAGTCCAGGAGGCCCCCGGTGTCTCGGGCTCGTCTTCGGTTCACCTGGATTCCACCCCACATCTGATGATGTCGGTTGAAGTCCCCTGCGATGATCAATGTGATTGCAGGCGAGAGCCGGATTGTCCGGCTGATTTCATTTAAGATCTGGTGTATCGGGTTGTCTGCCGGGTCGAATGGCGGGATGTATGTGGAGAAAATTAAGATCTGGCTTTCTCCTATCTGGAGCTCGATTGCTGTTACATCTGGGCTGTGGCACCGCCTTTGCCGGTATGCCGAGGTTGATATGCGCTTGTTGACATATATTAGACTGCGCCCCGTGGCGTGTGTTTCGGTGCATGATGTTTGAAACACCCTCCAATGTGGGTGTTGTATGTTGGGGGTCCCGCGGTTGGTCGGCCCTTCTACCAGCAGGCGCTGGTGGTGACCGAGCTCTTTTGCCCCAGTAGCCTACAGGTTATGAGACCGTTGAGTGTGAGCCCCGCTGTGGTCAACATGCATGGGTTCGATCCCAGAATGGACTTAAAAATTCCTAACAAATACCCTGGACATTTTAACAGTGCCAAGAGACATCCCAGGAGTGTGCCCTAGAAGTCCCGTGAGCCCTAGGACTGAGTGGTCCAGTCCATTATTAAAAAGGAGCCATTGTGGGGAGGCCACTGAAGGGAGCCACTGAGGGGAAGTACTGTACTCTGTGGTAGCTGGTCCGAGGGGGGGTGTTGGGGGTCCCGCGGTTGGTCGGCCCTTCTACCAGCAGGCGCTGGTGGTGACCGAGCTCTTTTGCCCCAGTAGCCTACATTGTATTGGTGTTGTATAATATGTGAAAGGGGGTTCTTGTACGAGTAGCACCTCCAAATCTCCAATTTTGCGGTCATTGAGGAGTGCTTCTATGGTCGAACGTTTTTTGTTGGCGTTCAGTTGTAAAATCCGCAGTTTCTGTGTTAACATTGAAGGCTGGTAACATTGGCTCTCGATTTGCACTCTGTTGCTCCTGTCGGGTGGCGTTCTGCGCAGTCTGCGCATTTAGGAGTCGACTCTCGAGGGCAGTTAGCTGTGTTGTGCTCTCGCGTACAGAAACCACATCGTAGTCTCTCTTTGCAGTTCCAGGCCAGGTGGCCGAAGGCCAGGCATCTGTGGCATCGTTTCTTCTTGATCTGATATGCCTCAATGCTGCCTATATATCGATGTCCAAACCCCATTCCATTGTTTACCGCCCATTCGGCAGCTTCCGCACTATCGAACCATATCCCAAGTGATGCCGACGCGCCCAGCGTGGATTCCCTCTTCTTGAGCCATGCGATTTCTTCTACCTTGTATCCCTTTTGGGCGAGCTCATTTTCCTCTGTTATCTTCTTCATGCTTTGTGGTTTGTCCTCAGTGTCGACTTCATGTGTGGGTGTTCGGTGTACTACCACACCAAATCTGGGTCTGACCAGCTTTGTTTGGCTTCCCAGGTTCCGGAGCCACCCCCCATTCACGCTGGCAGTGTCTTTGGAGGCTTCATCTCGGAAGCGGATGATGTACCCTGTTTTTGTGGTTCCTACCCCGATGATCTCGACTCCTTCAGTTGGCATATTCTTTTGTAGGGCGTCTGTGACCCTCGCTTTGACCTCTTCCACGGGGAGATATCTTGTGAGGGACCCTCCATATTCCATTGAGTCGGAAGCCTGTACCGCACTGATACGGACGCAGAGCGGGGGGTCTTTCCTGTCAGCTTTTGTAGATGCGGACGTTGGGGCCGGTGGAGGGGTTGATGATTCGCCATTCATTCCGCCGTTGGAGGCAATTGATGCCCAAGATTGTTGATCCGGTCTATGTGTCACCTGGGTTCTCAGAGCAGTTATCTCATCTTTAAGGCTTGAGTTTTGCCTGATTAACTCTTTCTGGTCTGCTTTTAACTCTTCACAGCATGTTTTGAGAGTCTCCACCGCCTGGCCTTGTTGTGCGATGATTCCTTTCAGCTCGGTTATAAGCCATGCAATTTCGTCAAGTTTGTTCGGGTGTCCATCGCTGTTGCCTGTAAATTCAATGTTTGGGGTGCCATTTAGTTGGACAGCTGTGAAGGCGTCGGTTTTCTTTCGCTTGCGTGTTGGTTTCTGCGTTTTTGGTTGGGTCGCATACTGGCGCGTCGTCGAATTAAAGTTGATCCATGTTGCATCCCTGGTTCCAGGCTCCACATTCGGCTGTTCCCTGTCATTTACCACACTTCTCGACATCGACCGGGTCACCGCAGCCTCCGGTAACTGGTCTATCTCGCTTTCGATGTTTTCTAGCATTTTCTTCCTTGTATCGCAACCTTGTAGTCCTTCTTCGCGACCTTGACGGTCCGGACCAGGAGGACGCCAAGGCGTGACAACTATGGCCATGATTGGTTTGCTTTATTTAGTCAGTCCTTGACGGTCCGGACCAGAAGAACGCCAAGGCGCGACTTTGAGATGGCCTTGATAGTTGATTGGTGTTCTGCATGAAGCTAATAGTCAAAAGATGTGGATCCCTATTCAGTTCATTCAAGAATGAGATAGATAAATGCTCAGACACTGTTGAATTAGATATTCTCAACCGAGCTTTCTGCAGTCCGACACTCGACATCAGTCATGGTACACAGAAACATTTTCAAGATGCATCTAATATTTTCATAAATCTATTCTTGAGTAGTTGTTTAATGTCATAGATTCATTCCTAAATGCCCGTAATGTTACACGCAGTTTAACGCATGGCTCCTGACCAATCACTTGCTGCAGGAACAGCCGACATCGCCGACATGGGGATATTCAACAAACACAAAAAATCATGGAGAGACATTAGCCGCAGACCTGCATCTTCCAGCTTCGTACCTTTTCGCGGCCCGAGCCACGAATGTGAAAAGGAGGCGGCGGAACGTCAAAGCTATGATTCTATCTCAGAAGAATGCTACTGGGACTGATTACATCATGAATCAAAGGCCTCATGATAAAACGACTCTCGCCTTTATCAGCTCAGCGATCACACAGATGCGGACAGGAAAGATTGGACTGCGAGCATACCTCCACGCCATCAACAAAGCTGACACCAACAAATGCCAATGTGGTTGGGGACCACAAACGGTACGCCACATCCTCCTGGAATGCCGAAACTGGATGGAAGAACGAAACCGAATGTGGGGAGGCATGTGTGGACATAAAACGCATTCTCTGTAGCTCGTCAATGGCGGTACAAGCAGCAAAGATGATTCTGAGGACTGGGCTCCTGGGACAATTCCAGGCAGTTCCATCCACAGTACTCCAAGTGATTATTAGTAAACAGAAGCAGAGGAGTATCTGAGCTCTTGTAGAAGGTAGCAATTCAGTCAATGAATAGCTTGATCTTTGAAACAAGAGCAGAAGTGTCTGTATTTATAGTTGTACACCAATCAATCAAAGGCCTCATGACGGATTTTGTCTTGAGACAATGTACACAAGACAGTGGCAGACCTAAGAGAATCCTCCTAGACCATTCTTCACGAGTGAAATATCACATGCCTAGTCTCTTGGTAGTAGACTCATATTCTTATTAGCATATGTTGTATTTTGTCTTGAGTCTGCTATCTAATGATTTATTGTGTCACGGGCTGGGTGGCACAGCAGCTATGCCAGAACAAGACTACATCACTCTTGAGAGTCTCTACTCATTGCGCTTACGGGCTCGAGTCTATCAGCATACCTCAGTCTGCATATTACATTAAATTTTATGATCAATTTTCCCTGTCTTGGAACGGCTGACTTGGGGAGACTGTTGACCTGGGGAAAACGGCTGACTTGGGGAGACTGCTGGCCTGGGGAAGACGGCTGACTTGGGGAGACTGTTGGCCTGGGGAAGACGGCTGACTTGGGGAGACTGCTGACTTGGGGAGACTGCTGACTTGGGGAGACTGTTGACCTAAGAAGGCTTGCAACAAAAGCAGCAGTGCGACAGAAATGTTCTGGGAAAGACGGCTGGCTTGAGGCCAGAACCTTCCCCAAGCCAACAGTCTCCCAAGTCTTCTCTAAAACTTGAATATGTTTTCGTCTCTACAATTCTATAAATTTTGGAATGATCACCCACTTCAGTTCTCATGACAGAGTAGTTGTTCTCATTTCAATGCTATACATGGAATACTTCTGTATTTTTACTCCTCAGTATAAATATTTTCAGTGAGAACAGAGAGATATGCGAGAAACAACAACAGAAAGCATGGCAGTGCACTATAGTACCAGATTTCTCAAGAGTTGCTGGAAACCAACAGTTCAAGAAAGCTTAGTCATTTGAATTTTTTTTGAAAGAAATCGCGCGCGGCAACATTCGCGGCTTCTTTGGCCAGAGAGATGCGTAGGAGAGCCAAATGGGTTGTGGTTGAAATGGATTGCGAGCGAATAGGATGGCGAGCGAAATGGATTGCGGGTGAAATGATGGTGTGTAAGGAACTGTACGTACTGAATCGTACGGTAGATCTCAATCAGGTAAGGAATAGTGAAGGAGGAAACTAGAGAGATATTGAGTGGGGAACAACAACAGGAAGCGCTGCAGTGCGCTACCAGTTGATATCTCAAGAGTTGCTGGAAACCAGCAGTTCAAGGAAGCTTAGTCATTTGAATTTTTTTGAAAGAAATCGCGCGTGGCAACATTCGCGGCTTCTTTGAAGCCGGAGAGCTGTGTAGAAGAGTCAAATGGGTTGCGAGCCGAAAGGAGTGCGAGCCGAAAAGGAATGCGAGCTGAAAAGGGATCAGGTGAAGAGAAGAGTTAGCCGAAAAAGGGGCGGGCGATATGGAGCGCCAAAAGAACACCGGCTTGGCTTGGCTTGGCTTGGCTTGGCTTAGACTAAGCAATCACCATGTAGACCTCCAACTCTTCCGCCTCTTTCCACCACCCATGATTTCAATATTAGATGCGAGGTTGGCCATAAAAATTTCTACCTAGTAGCTCTTGACAACACCAGTGATAACCTGACGACATGTTCCGCAGGTTGCGCCAATGGGGGGAAGGCATTTTGGGCAATACCGATGTCCACACAGAAGGGTCCTCCACCCTGATGGAATGATATAACAGATCTGACATTGACATTGATGCTTCAGCTCACGGACTTCAGTCTCAAGCCCACAGACTTCAGTCTCAAGCTCACAGATTTCAGTCTCAAGCTTGCCGACCAGCCCATCCTTTCTAGTCATTTCTGCACGCAGATGCTGCACTTCTTCTTCCAGCACTTTTCTCTTCACATGCTCCGCCTTGAAAATGTCATGAATTCCCTGGTTCGCGGTTTCCTATCTCAATATCAGCAAAGAAACAGCCCCACCATGAGCCACACGGGGAAGAGTCTTACCAAAACAGTGCCCAAGTTGGGTATTTTACATTTTTTCGGTGGCTGCCACATTTCGGAGGGTGCTGGGCTATCAAATAGAGCCTCATACATCGGATAGCTGTAGTCTGTGCAGGGCCTCTTTCTTCGCAGCTTTCACGCTGGGGGCTGGTGTTCATCCATCTCCGCATCTGAACTGATGATGATAGTGTTATGAAGCCCGTCGCGAGGACTATCAGCTGACGCCATGATTAAAGGATGGTTGTGCCCTGGAAATGCGGCTCACTAGGAACGGCTCGTGCTGCAAGGAGGTGACTCCAGATGCGAGGCTGTGGGTAAACAAAGAAGAATGATGAAGAGCACCAGTGGGGGAAAATAGATTCTTTTATGTTCGCTCGGTCGCCTTCGAGTACACAAGGGCCTCCGGGCGGGTTTCAGCGGTGTAGGATGGGAAGTGGAAAGGAATTGAAAGAAAGATGGATTCAAAGGCGGGAGGGAGCCCATATATATACCCAGGGCCGGGGAAGCAGTCACGCGAGTTCAGGCTGTGCTGTCTCATCTGTTGGGAGCCAATAAGCCTCACTGAACATGTGCAGGGGAATAGCGTCGCAAATTTTCACTGGCAGTCAACACCCTGAGACCCTAGGGAAAAGCCCTAGAACCGGATGGGCTCGGAGTGAGATGGGGAGAACAACCTTCGTAGCCAGTGAACTGGGGTCGTTAGGCGTGCTTTCCCTCTTCGATTCCTTTCCGGTGAGGGAGAACCGTCGGCAGGTCTGGGAGGTAACATCGTACGTGGAGGTAGCCATGTTGTGAGATGAGATGATGAGATGCTGTTCTGCCCCGATCCAGGCGGCACTTGACGTCTCTATATGTCCCACGTTCAACGCCCCCCTGCGAACAGAATAGGTCGAGGATAGGCAAAATGGTAGCTGAGATGTGCCTTGCGTGGGTCGCCAATCATCCACACTGAAGCAGCTGCCGAACCGGGGGATGATGCATTGAAGGGGAGGACCATCGCAGACATACTCCTGGCTTCACCCTCATGCCATATCGAGCCCATGGACATCTCGTTTCCAATCACCCAACACGTAGCGAGATTCGAGGCACAACTGCATGTCAGCGCTTCTTGCCAGAGGGCGCAGCGAGATGGGCGCCAGATCAACAAACTTGAGCTCTCATCCAGTCAATATTGATCAGGTGGAAGGACAATCCCACACCAAATGAGCACTTGAACCAGTCAAATCTGCCCCAAACCCTCCTGATGCGCCAGGAAAGTTAACCGACCAACTTCCAGACCTTTCCTACGGTCAGTAGGACCGGGGCAAGAGGCAAGGGGCTGGCACGTAATGGAGGCCGAGCTGCACCCAATCCCAATCATTGAGGCTTATCATTTTGCAATACACATACCCACGGGTACGGCTTGGCAATCCCATGATGGCTTTATACGCGAGAGCAAGATGAAGCAAAATACAAAATGCAGCTTGTGCTCTGCTCCTATAATTCCCGCTGGTTTCTGTCCACAGGGTGCTGGACCCTTTCCTCCAGTCAATAAGGCGAGGGATAAGGGGCAGGCATGTAATGAAAAGGCAGAACCTGACCCACAGCCAATCATCTGTCCTGGAAACAGTGCGACAACACCCCTGACTTCCCCCTGTGCTGCTTTTGTCAGAGGCGCAGTGAGGTAGGTGTAGGAGAAGCAGACTCCCCGCCAGTTAGAATGGACCAGGTGGAAGGTAATGCTGACAGGTGATGCTGCCAGTCAAATGAACATGGTCTAAAAGGCTATAAAAGGCACTTCCCCTCTCATCTGAATACAGCCTTCAGTCTCCTTCAAAATCTTCTTCCCTCTTCAAGATATTTGCTCGTCTTGCTGCACGTCCTCAACATGGATAGACAAGGAACCGAGAACCCTCCTCCATTACCCAGTCAGCATCTGTCGCCCGATGCGCAGCAAAATTCTACCATCCCAACTTATCGCGATGCGTTGGGTGACTTTCTCCAGAAGGTGCCATCCCAAACCCATGCCTCGGGTAAGAATTCAATGACATATTGCCTCCTCCCCTTCTCCTCTGTTTTGCTCTATATAATGCCCTCTTCTATTTCTATTTCTCATGTCAGACTGCAGCCTCTTTTAACGTCCCAAACAAGCGGCTGTCTGTTGACAGGACCTCAAATAACCTGTCTCAACATTCTGGCGACATCGAACCCGAAGATAAAGACAATATCTCAGATTCTGGGGCTACAACAGAACCTTTGGCTGATGGCGTGTTGGAGAATCTTCACTATCGGTATGAGGCGGGGGAGGTTGAGAGGAGTCCTAAGATCTGTCATGTCGGAGAAAAGGTATTGCGAGACAGTAAATATGTTCGCAATGTGCGCTATGTGGTGGAAACGTATCTCCCGGACAATTGGCTCCCGGGCAATGCCAGGTTCAAGCTGCGGAAGCAGGAGGAGAAGCAACAAAGAAAGAAAGAGAAGATACAACGAAAGAAACGTCTGAGCACATTACGTCCTCGACCATCAACACGCAATTAATGGAAGATGGGATGTTCGCTTGTCAATTATGCCAACCAAAACACTCATTTGTTTATTTGATATTATAATACCCAATCATTTATCCACCTGCTCGCCCTTGCATAAAATTAGAATATAAGAGTCGACAGAGTGGTGGGCTACCACCCAAAGCCAATTTCCCTCGTGGGATCAGTGAGTGGTGCCCGAAGTCAGTTCCCTCAGAGACTATATTGTCTCGGGGAACTGTTATAATTGTGGTCATTTGATAAGAAAATGTTGTTTTCTTCGTGGGTTTCATGTCCTCGGGTACTCACCACCCTGAAGAGCCGTAAAATGATGGCTTTTCTCATTGAAATCGCGGCCTTCTTTGGGTGCTAATTATTCCTGCGGAACTGAACACCCTGGGGGAATCCCTCCCGGCTTCCAGAGATAGAGTCCCATGTGGTGTCAGCAGCCTTAAGGAAGTGAACTCCTTGGGGAAGGTGATCCCTTGGGAGATGCCACAATTTTGAGCGAAAAGGCCACAAAGATAGAATCCTTTGGGAGGGCCATGACTTGAGCGAAAGGCCATAAAAATAAAGGCCCTTGGGATGCCATAATTTTTGAGTGAAAGGCCACAAAGAATGACGATCCTAGAGGGACGCCACTGAAAGACCAGAATACTTAGAACTTCTAATTGATTCTCAGGGGTAGCCATGATTTCTGCTCAAAGCGACGATAATCTACTAATCCCCAAGGATGACATTTTGCACTCACGATGCTGAACGAAAACCACAGAAATGAGGCCCCTGACGGATACCATATATTTTGAGTGAAAGGCAACAAAAAATAACGATTCTCAAGGGGCGCCACCAGCTTTTGCCGAGAAACCAGAATACTTGGAACTTCTTATTGAGTGTGCAATCAATATAAAATTTAACTTTCCAAAACAGGCAAAGGCTCTGCTTAGTAATTTTCTCTACTTCATTGTAATTTACAACAAACAAATTTTCATCTATTCATGCTTATTCTCAAGTTTCCCTTGTTTTCCCCTCTTCCCCTCTCTGAACTTCAGATATTTCATGTAGTTCTCGCACGTCATTCGGGATGGAGGGGGATAATGCTTCTCCTATCTCTGTAAGAGTGTGTCTTTTCTGGGCTGTATCAGACATGGCACTCACTATGTCTTCATCTGGTGGTGGAAAGTGGCTGCTCAGGGAATCAGACTTGTTAAAATTAATTGTAAAGTACTGATTGTCTTCATGGATGAGAAGGTAGACACCTTTGCAGTGGCAGTCATCGAAGTAGCTGCGCAGCATATGTTGGAGTGTGCCTTTCTGTCAATAACGCATCTGTACAAGTCTACTGTGCGCAGTCCATGGCTTCTTGACATGCTTTGAGTTTGATGGTTGCATAATGTAGCATTTGATTCCAATGAAGATAAAGATCTGGGACTTGATAGTTATCTCTTGGCACAATGGGAAGAGATCTCAATTTATAGCCACGAGTGAGTGTTGTCTAGAAATAGGGTGGCGTTCATTGAGCCAAATGGCGCTTTTTAAAAGTGTACTTCTGTCGAACGTCTTTTCGAACGATCAGTCGTTTTGCCGCGACGATTGCATGCTTGGGCCATGATCTGCAATCCAAAACCGTGGCCCTCATCATTTTGACTCGATTTTCTACTCGGCCACGCCATCTGAATTCATAGCCACACTTTGCACTAGAGCAGATATTGTGCTTGGACCAGAAGAAGTCTACAGAATTGGGAATGAATAAAATGCCCACAAATGTAAAAAGTCGAAATTGCAGGAATGACATCATTTAGAGACGCGTTTAGTGATTAAGAAACCGTGGCTCCATAGTGCGTACTTTACCGCTTTCTCTCATCAGTCTGTCACCATGTCAAATATTTTCTTCCCGTGTCGTCGCATTGCATGATATGCGTGGAATACGGCAATCATGCGCAAAAGGGTGACTAGTGGAGAATTCTCACCAGTTCCACTCCAAGGTACCCTGGGCGGCTTCTCGAGCTGGTACTCACGCTAGTTGCTTTTAGCACTGTAATTGGTGGGTCTCCAGCGGCTATTTCAGGCGCCCTGTTGATTTCAGAAACTGTTGAATTTATTTTTGATTTGACTTTTTGAACTTTTGAAAATCTTTTCTACATTTTTGATCTTTTATCTTCTTATTTCTTTTACTAGTCAGTACTTTCTTTGCTGTAAGTCAGCTTTTATTCTAGGACATTTCCGTTGCACAGGACATTTCTGTCGCACTGCTGCTTTTGTTGCAAGCCTCTTTTTGTCACTAGAACATTTCTGTCGCACTGCTGCTTTTGTTGCAAGCCTTCTTTTGTCCCAGGACATTTCTGTCGCACTGCTGATTTTGTTGCAAGCCTCTTTTTGTCACGCAGGCAGTTATGCAGCGTACGACTATAAATACAGATGTTTCCGCTCTTTGTTTCAAAGACCAAGCTTTTCGTGGGCTGAATCGCTTCCTTTCCGCCAGAGCTCAGACATTTCTCTACCGATAATCTTATCTGTTCTGTATAAAACAATGCATGTGTCTCAAATCCATTGGCTGAAGGAAATGGCAGATACCATGTCGGTAAAGCTAAGAAAAACCAAGAGCCGTCACGTGCTGGAATCCGCTGGAAGACCAGCTATCAGTCACCCTACAGTTGCAACTTCTTGTTGGAGCTACTACATGTAGCATCCGCCCTAGTGGCGTTGCCGTAGCGACCGCTCCGCCTACACGTGATCTCATATGTAATATATATAGCTAGCTCTTCCTACACGAATACAACAGATTAACCATCCCACAGGTTATAGCCCGGATAGCACATTTTTACAAAGAATTATATTTTTTTTTTCTTACTTTTGTTTAAAAACACCTGTGTAAGCATTGAATGTGTTCATCTCAGATAGGAGAATTCTTTTATCACATTTACATTGCATGTTTCAAGTGTATCTACTTGATCAGTAATTGAAATAGCAGAACTCTACTGTATAATATAACATTTTTTTTTTTTTCAGTTTCTTCATTCAATTCTTCTTTGACTGATAAGTGATATGTCTACATCACAGAGTAATAGAAGGAGAACTTTATATTTACATTCTCACACTCAGACATCTATTAACAAAGAATCAGAGAAAATAGATACTATATAATATATAGAAGTTACAGAAGAGATCATGAAGTTATCTATAAATAGCAGAGTGAATCATGAATCAGATAATAGCATCTTAAGCTTATAAGCAATATATACAGAAGTGTGACACACAAGTATCATGTCTAGAATGAGTTCAGATAATATAATATCAATGATATTTAATAATCTGATAATATTCTGTGACAGAATAAGTGTACATTGAGTAGTCATCTCTGCAGCAGATGATTTCAAATCTGAGATCTGTGAATATCAAAAGAATGTTTAAAAAGCCATGAATATCAAAGCTGTAATCACATTTGATAATAATAACTATAAGATCTGATGTACAGAAATTCTTGTAAATACTGAAGTCATTGATGAATCTGACATTCTTACAAAGAATCAACATATCTGTTCAGAAGACATCAGTTAAGACACATTAAGTGTTGAAAAATGAAGCATTTATATCAAAGTACTGTATCAATATATGTTGCAGTTCTTATTAGAACCTGTATATACAATTATTGAAACTCTTGAGCCAGATAATGCAGCTGTGCTATAAGAAAGAATTAGAGTTAAATATGCTGTCTCACTTGCAGAGAAATATATGAATATTGTGAAAGAATTCATCATCTTACATGTCAGAGATAACAATTATCTGATATTTCAGAGAATATTTCATTATCTAGTTATATATCATAAGAAATTGATAAATAACTCAGAAGACTTCTATCACAATCTCTTTCTTATTGATCTGAAGAAGCATCAAAAGTCTTTTATTAAGACATATTTAGATAATTTCTACACATCTGATCAGAACTCTATACATAACATTGATATTGATAATCTTATAAAACAGTTGATAAACTATACAAGCAAGTCTAAGAATGAACATCTTAAGTCTTAGTGAGTTAATACAACTACTATGACTCTCTCTACATTATTCACACACAGTTTCAAATGTGAGATATGCAGTTTAAAATAGTACTGGAAAAACACCTATTGATATCTGTATTCAGAACTTGCTACTGAACAGTGATGCAAGTTAAACAAGAAACATATTATTACACCTGAGAAGAACAATAGCAACAATGTCAGTATCAGTGAACATAGTAAGCAGAAGAGTAAAAAGAAGAACAAAGATGATAAGAAGAAGAAATTCTCTGATCTTATGATTTCACAATCTGCAGCTGTCAATGCAGCAATTGCTTTTTCAGCAAGTATTAATATAATAAGCAAACCTTGATTTCTTGACACATGTGTGAGTTTTCATATGATAGATGAAAAGCAGTCTCTCATTCAGTGAAAGATATACAATGATAATATGAAGATTCACATAGCAGATAAAGATTACAGTCATATCAAAGAGATCAGTGATCTTCTTCTAGAATCTGAAGAAGAGAATATCACTGTCTGTGATATTTATTATGTTCTTAATCTCACAGTCAATCTATTATCATTTATCAGGTTGAAGAATCAGAATTTTCAATATAAGCTTTCAAGCTCAAACACCTCATTCTATTTCATTATTAAAGCATTAAGTGAAGTGATTTTCACTGCAATTTATATATCTCAGAACTCAATTTATAAAATAGTTAAAAGAATGTCAGAAGTTAATGTACATTATGAGTCTAAAGCAGTTTACTTCACAGTAAAATCATATGTATATGATAATGACTATGTTAAAGTCATAACTGCTATTGATAATAATGATTTCACTGATGATCAATCTCAACATCAAGAATCATCTACAACTGTGAAAATACTTGCAGAGTGATATATTGATCTGAGACATATATACACAGAAGTTATTATAGCATTGACAAAGAATTCACTATCTAGTATTCATGTCAAAGATATCAAGATTAATTTCTTTTACAACACCTGCATTAAA